ACGGTTCTGTCTTCTCAGTCAAAGTCGTTGGTGGGTTTTTTCAAACACCTGCCCTGAAAGCGTCTGCGGACGTATATATATATATATATATATATATATATATATATATATATATATATATATATATATATATATATATATATATATATATATATATATATATATATATATATATATATATATATATATATATATATATATATATATACATATTATTTCGTTATTCCACAGCCTCCTAAAATATCTTTACGTGTTTCTGTAACATCCCGTATTGAAACTTTTGCTTGTTTTGTTTGCACAGCATACGGAATTAAAGTTATATCGCCGTCGGGGGAACAGTGAACCTGCCGTCGTCGCATATGTTGAACGACCGCGCAGATTTCCGCAATCTTTCATCTCCGTTTGGCGCAAGTTGACGCGCACTCTGTACGTCGACATAAATTTATTTTTAATGCTTCTATCCCCGTATACGTATTATACGCGCTGTATTTATATATCCGCCACATGGGCTTTCGGAATAATGGAACGCGGTTTGTCGGAAGCGCACACGCACCAGACGACCCGAGAAGAAATATTATACCTCGATAAATCTGTATTTGTTTCACCACATGTTGAAAAAGGAATATAATGTCGTAGTTTTTTTAAATTACCGATTTGCCATGTGGCGTTGAAAACAGAAAATAAATAGACTCACTCGGATTTCCTATCGCCAAATAAGGGCGCTCCGTACGCTCAGGTCGCTCTATAAATGCCGGTCTTATAGTCACTTCGGAAATATAATAGGGTCATTGAAAGGGTTGGGGAACCGGAAGTTATATTTTTTATCCGAGTACTCAGATCCAATTTGTCTCTCCTTAAATAAAAGCCAGTGATTACAAAATAACTGAACGAGAATGGTTTACAGCACACAACTTAGGTATGGTATGTTCATAGATATAAGATTGCGTTTGAATGGGATTATCCAAGGGTGGCCATTAAAATACAATGCAACAAGATTATTACCTAAAGTTTCGGAATTTAAATTCAGGTAAAATTGTGCTCCGTAATAGAAAATAATTTGGTACCTACCTGTGTTTAATATCCTTTGGTTTGGTATACTACTTAGTTTAAGTTTATTTGTAATCATTCTTATTTCGTGTGTAATACAGCGTGTGTTAAATCGTGTGCGAGTTATGCAAAATATGTGCGAGTCTAGTATATCTCAGCAGATGCTCCCGCCCAAATGTAAAAAACACTATTCTATTGAGACTAAGGAATGTTTATTTGACTCTCATTGAACGTGGTGCCAGCAAGCAAGAAGAAACTGCCACATTGACGAAAATTCCAACATCAACTGTATGGAAAATTGTGAATAATCCCATTTCAGCGAGGAAAAAAAGATGCTGACATTTTCTTGAGTGTAGATGAAAGTGATCAAAATATAATAGGGCGTAAAATTTACCAGTTATACGAGGAACAAAGCGTACCTACATTATATATCTTAATTAGGAGGCTTGAAAATGATGAAACCGGTGTTAAATGTGGCAGAACTCTCTTATGAAAGTGTATTCAACCCATGGGTTTTAGATTAAAAAAATTGACAAAAGGCAAATTTTAATGGAATATTTTTGAATTCGGAAATGGCTACTGGAATATCTAGAAAAAAATAGGACAGAGAACAACAAAGGCCAATTATTTACTTGGATGAAACCTGGTTCGACACTTATGATACCCCGGAAAAGGGTTGGGTTGACTCAACTGATAAGTGTAAAACAAACGCGCCATCAAAAAGAGGTAAAAGAATAACTGTTTTGCATGCTGGCTCTGAAGATGGTTGGATTCCAAATGGACTTTCTCTGTCTGCGAAAAATATTAAAGATTCTTCTCTGGACCATGAAGACACCACCGCTGATTTATTTGAAAGTTGGTTTAAAAACAAACTAGTTCCAAACATTCCTCCTAATAGCGTAATTGTAATCGACAATGCAAGTTATCGCAGTAGGCAGTTGAATAAAACCCCTTCCTCATGTAACACAAAAGCAACAATCCAAAATTACATTTATAATAACGACATTTATTTTCACGAAGATTATACCAAAAAGCAATTAACTGAGGTTCTACAAAGCTTGAACATCAGCTGCCATTTCGTTCAGGTAGCTCGGTGGGTTCATCGCTAGGCCACAGTTTTGTTTTTAATCTCTTACGCAAAATTTAACAAAGGGTCCGTTGGAAAACACGTGATCGTCAGGAAGTGCAGAGGTTTGTGAAAGCCGAAAATTAAATCGTTTACCTGCTTGTTGCAAGGATATTGAATGCTTTATCATCAGGGTTGATTGGGTAAAATCGGCACTTTCAACTTTGAAAATTACGAGTGAGCCCATTGAAGGTACAAAAAGCAGCACCGGCTAACAATGGTATTTCGCAAACTTGATGTGCTGTGTAATTAGTTCTGAATTAGAAATTCTTAAAAAAGTCTTTTTATAAATAGGATACATATGTAGAAATCGCAAGCTTCTACATGGGAAAAAAGTAGTTTCGTTGAAAAATATCAAAAGCTGTTCACTCGTTATCATGGAAATAGGACTGCTGATTTGAGCATGGTGGTGGTATATCCTAATAAGACGCACTGCAAGTTGCCAACTCATCCAGCAATAAAGACGGTATAACCCATGATTTTGCCGGGACACATGGTCACTTAATATTAGGTAAACACCCCCTCCATTGTTGCAGACAGACGCAAAATTAAGTAGTTAATTAGAAAGTTTTCTAGCAGACAAGACACAAGCACAAAGACTGTATTTTTAGCTCATCTTCATTAGAATACTTAATCTGTCGGTAAAGGAGTGGAGTGGATTGTCTTTCATTATTGTTACAGGGGCGGAGTATATCTTGTCTGTCGGTTTTTACTTCATGCAACCTGCACACAAATCAATTGAATTAAACGTTTAGGTCTGTCTTAACTTGAATCCTAAAAAAAAACTATAAATATATAATATATATATATATATATATATATATATATATATATATATATATATATATATATATATATATATATATATATATATATATATATATATATATATATATATATATATATATATATATATATATATATATATATATATATATATATATATATATATATATATATATATATATATATATATATATATATATATATATATATATATATATATATATATATATATATATATATATATATATATATATATATATATATATATATATATATATATATATATATATATATATATATATATATATATATATATATTATATATATATATATATATATATATATATATATATATATATATATATATATATATATATATATATATATATATATATATATATATATATATATATATATATATATATATATATATATATATATATATATATATATATATATATATATATATATATACATATTTATATATATATATATATATATATATATATATATATATATATATATATATATATATATATATATATATCATAAATATATAATATAAATATTTAAATATAACTAAATCAACAATAACGAAAAATAATCTCACATCTTTAGAAATCCGAGCGTAATCATAAAGTCACTCCGAGGATTTATTAACCGACAACAAACATCATCTATTATTTTATATACTAAACCCGCATTCCAGCGGTTAACATAATTTGTGGTTGAATATACAGCGTTTTTTAAAAGTTAGAACCCTAGAATTTACCCACTTTTGGTGGCCGATATCTGCGTCAGGAGTCCAAGACTGCTACTTCAATTCGGTTAGCCTGAAGCAGCTTGTACATTTTTTTCCTAAGAATTACTGGTTTTGTGGTCATGTAGCTGCTAGAGTAAGAAGTGGAGGAAAATTCAATTCAACTGCTGAACAACTGAGCACCAGATTGCAGACGATTAATATACGATCTAATAGGTTAATTCATTCAGCACTGAGAATTATATAAACTTCCCATGAAGGAGCTAGTGTACTTCATCGAGGGTACAGATTTTTTTTTATATGGAAGAAAGGGAAGAGATGTTCACGTAATGGAATCCAAGGCAACGACACCAACATCAGCGTCCCGGCAAAAAAGAGACAAGTGTTATTTTGACGCTCGAGCCACACCAAAAGCTAATGATACATTTTGAGAACAAATATATCGCATGTCATATTGACAGCTTAATCATTTGTAAAAAGAATTATTGTAGCTTCAAAGCTCTACTTGTGTGCGCAACAAACACGAATTACACTGTCTGTATAATTATAATTTTAATAAATTTCAGCCTATGGTTGGCACTTACAGTATATTGATTTTTATATTAAATTATGATATATGTTAATTAATTCTTGAAAAAAGGCAGATAAATAACAATAAATATCGGTGCGATAGCGTCTTTTTAAAATATATGTTTTTAATATATTTTTTTTTATATGGAAGAATATTATTCACTTTAAATTGCTCTCATAACGGTTACACCCATTGGCGACTAACTTGGAAATGTAAAAATATTTTATTAATACTTTTTTTTTTATCACAAGTCTGACGAACAAGATGTCGAATGGTTTCTAAGATGTACGGTTGTTTGGCTACCCTGTATATAAGTAGTAGTGGCCCAGAAGCTAAAGTTTACGAAAATTTGTAATAATAATCCACCACAAGCCTGAATTAATACTGGGATTAAATAATGATCGAGTTGCAGTCCGCATGACCCGTTAATAAAAATGTAAATTATATTACTAGAACCTGCACCTATACAAATGACACGACAAAATATATCATCACTGCGCATCGGGTATTATGTGCTCGCTAATTCATAGTCAGATACGTTGAACAATCTTATAAATTCCGTCTCCCCAAGTAAATAGTCGAATCGCGCCGGCGATAATTGCAAATAGCTACGTAATCGTTAATTATTCAGGCATTTAAGTTGCGTATTATTATCGCACGTATTTACAAAATCTCTGTTCATTAACTAACGGTTGGAATTTCTGTTGTAGGCAAGCCGATCGATTGCACGCAGCGGTTATCTCTTCGTCGCTCCAGATTGGGATTTTTCCGTACCCCTCAACAGGACTAAGGTGAGTAACCCATTAGCGTGTATCCAACGCCGCTGGCCTAACTCATGTATGTGGCTTTAGGAAAGGCGCGCAAAGGCTTTCAAAGGCCAACCTTCTTTTTATAAGTAGTATATTATATCCTATCTAACTCAAAACATTAGTATAGATTGCAGGCCAAATTGGGAATGGTTGCATTGTTTTCGTATCAGTTACACGTTTGCGCTGTATTTTTTTTTACTTTTAAAAAAATATTCGTTAGTTATAGTTCACGATTCAGTGTTTTTAGGGATTCGTCCGACACACTAAAGGAAAAGCTTACCACCTCAAATCCAAACAGAAAGAAAATTGCCTTGTTGATTTCCCCAAAAAAATATTAAATAGCAATTATCGTAGTAATAGTTTTTGTCCCTTAAATTATCTGTTCTTGTGGTAGACAGACCCAATTAACATGTTTTGTGTTTAATATTGCTTAGCCTGGATAGATGACGTTCTAGACGCACATGTCTGAGGATTTTGACTTACAGATTTTATTCACGTTCACGTTCTGTGGCCCAATTGTGTTTTCTGTTCTGTGACCATGCCATGAGATATTTTTGAGGAAGTGATGCGTGTTTTACGATAATCTTTAAGTGAAGAAATTCGATCATAATCTGCCCCAGTTACACAACTAACAATATAACCACTTTAGTGCGAACCATTCAGAAAAATTTTCACTTCATCATGTTCCAACTTCGTATAATTAGAAATAACTTGTCCGGTCTCTTTTTTGCTATTTAATTTAAGGTCCAAATCGTTTAAAGACGATTTTTGCATTTCACTCAAATTTGGATGATTGAGGAATTATATTTTCAATATATTTTAAATTTTTAAAAATATATATAAAACTGCAAAGTCGAAACTGAAATTTCAAAACTGGACTGAAAGTAGTATTAATTAGTTTTTTTTAATGTTTAAAATTAGTATTGAATATATATTATAGATATTAACTTGCATGTTTGATTTCGTTAAACTGTTTTTTTTTTGTTTCTGTAAATATGTGATAAAAAATATATAAATAAAACAAAATAAAAGGAAAACGGCGAAAATTTTTGTCCGCACGATTTTTGAAATAAACAATAATATAACATATTAAGCGATGACATAATGGCGGTTGGCTGACAGGGTTAAGATTCTACGAATCGCGCGAAAATATGCGTGTTTCTAATAACAATTCCATTTTGAACCGAAAAATAAAAGAAACGTTTAAATTTCATTTTTAAGTAATCTTAGTATTTTAAATTCTAAATTAAATATCGCACGAAACTGTTATATTGAATTCTTTTTAATTTGCAATAAATCTCTTATAGTAAACAAAAAAAATGTAAAATTTTACCAAATACATATATGTAGGTAAGCTTAATTTTTGTCTATTACTTTGTGTTAAAGTTCTCGCGGATAAGCGTCTGACGACTATGAAATATTATCTACACGTCGGCGCATCATGACGTAACGATTATACAGGTAGTTACGCAACAGGGCCGATACACACAGGCATTTCGAAGATGATGCTCTGTTCTCGCGGTCGTAGAGTGGAAAGTGGTTCTCGATAAGGTCTCGCTTGTGCTCGGCCCGCTCGTGAAGAAGAAGAATGTCACGGAATTGCCCAATAGATAACACAATACTAGGCGGTACACCTGCTCGGAGCCCGATGCATTAACGTCTGATTGAACGGTGCCATTTTTCTTACGCGGTTTATGTAATTCTCATTTTCAATTACTGAAATCCGTTTTCACGATTACGATTTACACGAGAGAATAATATTTCATCTCGGATTTTTTCGAAAAATGAACATCGTTACTAATCGATTGAATTTTTTATGCTGTGGTGGAATTTCGAGTAATTTACGCCATGTAAGATAAAAAAGTTGTTATTTATTGTTAGAACTGTGGATTGTAAAAAGCTTTTTGTATATATTAATTAAACATCTCGCGCAAATTTACTTTTTCATGGTCCTATTTAGGTTTTGTTTTCATCCACACAAAAGTTTTTCTAATCTCTCAACATTATTGATTTTACCGATGATAACATAGCTTATTCTGTTGAGGGTAACAATTTATCAAAATGTGGTAAAAAATTGGTAACTTATAGTGGTTACCATTGATTTGAAACAGTCTACTTGTACCGGGTGTTCTAAATAGAAGTGACTTAATTTCCATGGTAATTATACCCATCTGAATATTTATCGGTTTATGGTAGGTCGAATAAGGTTTCAACTTATGATAAAACCTGTTAGACGGGGTGTCATATTATATATATAGCTGTACTATTTCGTGGTCAAGGAAAAACGACATACCTATAGTCCATTGAAAATGCAAATACGCCGATGAAAACTTTTGGGAGTATGTTTCTAAATAAAACAAACAAAACATAATTATAAGTCTAGGTTACATAAAATTTTTAAATTAAATTAAATTTTCTATTCTTTAATAGGCTCTGTAAAACGCCTCAATCATTGGGGTAGTGATGATTAAACATTACAATTCAGTTATAAAAACTTGACTTGCTTTCGTGGAATTTCGGACGCCTTATCTAAAGCGACGTTGCAGGAAGTTTCATTAAATCATTATGCACCCTCTATTGCTGCAAATAAATTTGTTGCAATACGTTTTTTTGTTCATTGCTTATATATTTATTATGTTTATAAGGCAATGAAAGAATAATGTCTTTAAGTTACTAAACACTCCGTATATACGTCCACGTGTTTTATATTTTAGCACATCACGTATAGATAATTGAATCGTGTACATACATTCGATTCTCAGTCGGAATACCTTCGGTGCTCGTTACAAAATCGTAAAATACCTGCGTAATTGCTGTTATGTAATCGAGCCAGCAACAACGTCGTTCGGTACTTTCCGCCCGATTCGAAAATAGACGGGGTACACAGCGTTGCCGTCGTTGGTTTTTGGATTCGTAAGAGCCGACTTAAATTGGTAAAGACGCAGCACGTGACACGGTTGTTCCTATAATCTATTGGAACTCAGTAACTGCGTGTTGTTTTCCTCTTGGTATGTACTAAGCAATAACCCCAAGAGATCTCTGGGACCCTATGCGATCAATTGCGTGACGCCTCTTAGTAAGGTGTCAAACCTCCTAGTGAAGTTCGTCAATCCTTCCTCAGATGCTCCAGTTCTACGCTAGTATTTGGAGCAATGATAGCACAGATTAACAGAATGTGTTCTTGTGTTCTGTGATGTACTGTGTACTCCTCCTCCTCCTCCTCATCTATATTTCAATCCGGTGCTTCCCGGTTACCATGCTAAAGCCACGCTTTTATTGTCTAATGAGACTTCTTGCGATTGCTCACTGATTTAGAATAACAGGAAATTTTTACAATCTTCAAGGTGTCCTTCCTATCCAGCTGTCGTTCGACCAGACCGCCTTATATATTTAATACACACGGCAGTAAAATAATGTTCTCTATAAAACCCAAAGTCCTAAAAACTAGAGCAGACAGGATATATTCGCGGCCGAGGTACCGGATAGCAAATACTTAATCTTACCCAAATTACAGAAAAATGTTGCGAATTCAACAAACCACTCACTCTATTTGCGTTGTGTTTTGTCGATTATCGCAACGCGTTTGAAAGCATTAGATGGATGCGTCTCTGGTTAGTTATGAAAGAGAAGGGAGTTGCAAATCATCTGTGGTTGTTGACTTAAGTAGTTAGGCAGGACCGATAAGGTTGTATTCTGTCAATCATTCTGTTTAATATTTATTGAACTTATATTAAAAGAACAGTAGTAGAGGGATGGAAAGGTGGAATCACGGTTACCGGAGTCATGATCTCCAACCTTCACTACGCAAACAAACGTTTAGAGTTCTTGGGAAAATTAGAATTGGAAAACAGTAACCTGGACTTAGATAGCAACTACTCAATAACCAAAGTGGTACTTTTCGATAGAGCTCAGAATAATCAACCCAATATTAAACTCATGGGTAAATGTCAAGTCGTTAACCAGAGTGGTTGTTCACGGGGCATTTAAAAAAAAAAAACATGGCTAAATAGTGCTATCACACTAAACACAATAAAAACCCGGCATTTATATTCCCAGTTGTACTATTTGGATTAGAAACATGGTCGTTGAAAACATTTGAGCTCTGGTGCTGTAGAAGGGTGCTGCGAATATCCTGGATGGAAAAAATATCTAATACGGGGGACTGACCAACTAAGGGCATGCACTAATTTGACAGTAAAAAAAGTTGCATCCCTCGTGTACGTACAATCGAGAAAGATGACGAACAATGGGTAAACGTTGTAACCAAATGAGTTTGAAACTCTGATCACGACTTCACTGTCAAGAGCAAAACGAACCAGAAGATGAAAATTTTGCCTGAAAAATTTGCCTGACGGATTCTGCTTTTTTTGAGCTTGTGCATATGTGCACCAATTCAGCCGTTTCAGTATTAGTTTTGGAACCTATCTCTCTCCTGAAAATTCGCTTGTAGCAGTTTTTTTTATTTTGTTTAGTGTTCAAAATATTCGTTTCCTTCAGTAACCCAGATACACACAAAATGCATCACACACGTTTGGTACAATTTATATGATATAAAAAAAGTAAGCGAACATCCCTTTGCCAGTTTTTTGACCTATTGATCTACTGCTCCCGAAATAATCATGGCAGCCGTCCTCGGAATTTGTGCGCTGTAGTTGACACAGTCTAAGTTTGATGCGTTTGGTTACTGTTTTTTCTTTCGACGTCGCGCCGGCCGGTTGTTCTTTTTATTAGTTGCCAGCCAAGGTGGTTAACGGTGCCCCGCGAGTTGCCAAGTCCCTGTCTCTCTTGTTCCGTTGTGACACTATAAAGACGCTTTGATTATTGGTGTATATTCGGCGTCTTTTAGTTGATGAGTTAAATTATAACGTTGTACCTTTTGTCTTTAAATAAGTCCAAACGGAAAAGGGCGACAATATCTTGACTTGACGTGGACGTGGACCAACATTTTATTCACCGTCCAGACCCTTTCTGATTATGCTACA